GCCCTCCCTCCCTCCCTCCCTCCCTCCCTCCCTCCCTCCGGGGAAGGACGAGAGGCTCACGTATATCAACTCAAAAGGACACACACATTTCAAGGGACAGGCTGCAGAGAAGGCAAACCTGACCAGAGAGAAGGTGGCCGAGTACTGCAGGTCTGGACCTTTCTTACACGTTCAGCTCTACGAGCCTCCAGTGCTGGGTACGGCAGGATAAACACAGATGTTTGCACAAGTCTGCGAGAAAACTGGAGAGTCCAGTTAGAGATGAAACGGACACTTTGTGCAGTCTGCGGGTTTGCAGTGTTTAGAGTACACCTCTTCAAGGAACAGACTTCCCACTGCGTTCCAGGCTCCCTCCCTGGCCTCCACCCAGTCTCTGGGCCAGCTTGCGATTTGTCGGAGTTTTCTCGGCACCGCCTCCTTAAGGACCACACGGCACGCAGGCGCACTGGCTTCCAGCTGTAGGCGCTCGGGTTCAGGGCGCCGAGGGCCGAGGTCTTTTTTCCTGAACCCGTTCTTCGGCAGCAGCCGCACCGTCTGCTTTCCGGCCAGGCCCCCGCAGCCCCCATCCTGGTCAGGGGTTTCGGAGCTGCTGGGCGGGAGCCAGCGTCTCTTCCTCCGTCTCGGGCGGAGGCCTCGTCGCTGCGGGCCAGGCCCCAGGGCGCCCCCCATGGCGGGACAGCTGGTGGAGGTCGATGGCGGCATCATGGAAGGGGTAAGTGCGGAGCTGGAGGCCAGGAGGGCTGCGGCCACAGCCCTGGCTGCAGAGGGGGCGATTCACGCCGATGTTCTCTCTTCTCTCTGCACCCCCTGCTTTGTCAGGGCGGCCAGATCCTGAGGGTGTCCTCGGCCCTGAGCTGTCTGCTGGGCCTCCCTCTGCGGGTGCAGAAGATCCGCGCCGGCCGCAGCACGCCAGGCCTGAGGTAGGTCGGGGCGCTGGGGAGCGGGGCCGCGGGACTGGCGGGTGGGGGTTGGGGGGACCGACGGTGGGTCCGGAGGAGTTGGGGCGGAGGCGGGGCCTGGGGCGTCAGCCCGGGTGGTGATGCAGAGAAGGTCCCGGGGGCTCTGCTCGGGCTTGAGCGGTTAGCAGGAGGCTGGGTTTGAGTGGTCTTGAATACCTCGGGGCAAGTTGAGAAAATAGGTCCGTGTTCTCCCTATTTGGCTAGAATTGTGTCGTTTCCTAGTAAGTTCTCTTTTAAAATGTTTCCGCGCCTCATCGGACATTCCAAGTACCCGGAAAGCTTGTAGCAGCCGGCAAGATAGACTGAGTCAGAGGTCCGTAGGGCCGGAGGAAACTCCACTTTTCAACCAGTGCAATTTCTGCTGCCGCAGTTGTTATAATCAGAAAATGACCCTGAAGTGTGTTATAATGGCTTTCATTCAGACCGCTGGGAAACCGAAAAGGACCAGAATTGTCGATTGTGGAGTTGACCTTGCTTCTGTCTGGGAAGCTAGGCATGCTAAGATTCAAGTCTATGCATACACCTGTTGTCAGAGGACTCAGATTGAAGCCCAACTGATTCCTTTGTATTTGTATTTATTCCATTATCATTGATCAATTATCTCGTAGTCTTTTATCCACAATCTATAGTGAAATTATTAGAAGTCAGTTGTTGATATGTATTACATTAATTCTCTGTCAAAGCAGTTTTTTGCAGTTATCCATTTCACCAACAGGGAAATCCAGTTACCTAAGGGTGTGTTCGGATACTTTGTTTGCTAGGGCTGCCTTAACAAAATATCACAGACTGGGTGGCCTAAACAACGGAAGTTAATTTTCTTACAGTTGTGGAGGCTGGAAGTCCAAGATCAAGATGTTGGCAGGGTTGGTTTCCTTTGAGGATCATAAGGGAAGATTCTGTTCCAGGCCTCTCTCTGGTTTGGAGATTGCCATCTTGTTACCCCTACACATAGTCATCCTTCTCTGCGTGGACACCCCTGGTGTCTCTCTCCATGCCCTAATCTCTTTTCTGAGGATGCTAGTGAGAATGGATTAGTGCGTGCTTTAACTGCCTCTTTTTAACTTAATCACCTCTTTCAAGGCTCTTAATCACCTCCTTAAAGGCCCTGTCTCCAATACAACCACATTCTGAGATATTGGGGGTTAAGGCTTCAACATAAGAATTTTGGGGGGAAGACAGCCCGTAACAATTACAATAGATTTTTCTGTAAACTGCAAGTGTTATTCGTGGTATTAGGTAGTTTTACTAGTTTTCCTCTTCTGCACGCTTCTGATTTGCAACAATAATTCAGTGTATGTTTTTATAGCTAAAATAACTGGCCTGGAAGGAACCCTTAAAGTGATGCCCACCAGTAGGTAGTCTAGGTGCATAAAAACCAAAAAGAAAGCTCTGACACTGAAGATCTGGCACTTAACTGTGGTTAGACCTTGCTATTTTCTTGCCATTGCAGTTTTATAAATATATCATAAAATGTGGGGATATAGGCAGTCTGAATGGACACGTTTTGATGCAGTATTATGACCTGAAGGCCTCAACATTTATCTGGACTGGAAATGATTCGAGATTTGTGTGATGGGCAACTGGAGGGGGCAGAAATCGGATCAACAGAAATAATGTTTATACCAAAGAAGATCAAAGGTGGAATCCACACAGCTGATACCAAGACAGCAGGGTATGTCACTTACATTCCAAGTACGGGTTTTGGAGTGAGACCTGGGTTCATAGGCAGATACTGCCATTTATTGGGTAAATTGTTTAACCTGTCTGTGCTTTAGTTTTCTCACTCTGAAATGGATATAAAAAATAACCTTTCAGGTTCAAGACTATGTAAGCTTTCAGGTACTTTATTGTTTATTAATTGTAGCTCTTACTATAGAATTTCATCATGTGTATAGTGTATTTGTTTATTTTTATATCTGAAAATGAGTAAGTTTTCATGCTTTGTAATAGTATTTTTTGCATTTTAGCATATTTTGTTCTTGGCTTCAATCTAAAAATTAGGTATTTTTATTGTCTTTTAATAGCTGCTTATGCAATCCAATTAGAAAATTTTAAATATAATCTTTTTTTTCCCCATTAGAAAATAGATTTAACGGTTAAAGGGAGCCTTTATCTTTTCCAAGAGTTCTTCCTTTTATTGACAAAACATGGGGAACAGTTTTTATGTTTTGTATGTTATTTGGCTGCATCCTTTTACCAAAGTCCTATCCATTTACTAGGAAATTTGGTAGAAGAATATCAAGTAGTACTGTAAACCAGATGCCAGTGTGTTTCAGAAATGACTGTTATAATAGATTATGATTTTTTGAGTTTAAGAAAATATTTAATGATAACTGACATTTGAATTATGATGTGAAAAAGGATGAAATTCTGACTATGAAAAGGGACCTGCTGATAGGCCTAAGGCAAGGCTAGGCTTGCTAAGTGAGAACTTTCTACAGAGGATTAAAGAATTTAGGGGGTGTCTGGCATATTATTTTGGGCATTTTCCTATACAAAAAAGGGAAAAAGTTACAGTTAATCAACTATCAAAAATTAACTGAAACAGAATCATAGAATTTTGAAGCTGCAAGAGGAAAATAGAAATCATGTATTTGAACCCTTCCTCCACTTTGTGAATGAGAGAATGAAGACCCTCTGGTGTTCAGTGATTTACCCAAGCCCATAGAGTCAGGGTCCTAACCAGAATTAGAATCTAGGCCTTCTCTGGCTTCTAATCCTCTAGAATGTATAGAAAATGAGTTTAAAGTTGATAATCCATCTTCATTCAGGGAACTAAAAGAAACTTGTTCCTTAGCAAGAAAATACATTTTACTTACATTCTAAATTTTCTGTCCCTAATTGTGATTACCATGTGTTTTCTCAAGCCTTTACCTTTGTTTTTGCAATTCTTTACTTGCCCAAAATTAAGGTTTTTACTATTCTTAGATTCTAATTTTATCAGGGGTAGAGGGTTCACTTTATATGTTGGGTTCCTCAGGGGGAATAAACAATGAGAAGTTTAGTAGTTATAAACCTGTAGTTTATATAGTAAACTAAACATTTCCAAGTCTTTTGGTCCTAGGCTCAACTACTTGAGAACAGAGATTATATTGCATCCATTTTCTCTTATAATGCCTAACATATTATGCAGTCAGTAAATATTTACTAAATTAATGAAATGCATTATGAGTGATAGAGACCGTCTAATCAGTATACATATATCATTGCCATAAGAAAGTTATTTGAAGGTCTATCTTTTGGTATGAGAGGTTATATCAAACTCCCTTTCAAACTATAATCTATGTGTGACTATGATTACTTTCCCTTGACTTTGGAGAAGAAGGAGATAACAGCTCATTTAGAAAATCTGACAATTGTTTTATAAAATACTTCATATTCTGTAATTATGTCTCTAGGTTTCTCATTATTTGACTATAAAGACCATACAGAAGTGAATTATAGTAAGGATTATTTCCTTAAGACTTTTTTCCATGGGAAGTACTTAGCTATTAGTCTCTAAAATATTACTCTGTCATACGATGAACTCCCCGATGGTGGGGCCTATTTTAGCTTGCTATCTCGAACAGTGTGCCTTGTTCACGGTAGAGACTCAAGATAATCATTTGAGTATTTCTAGACTTTGTTTTGAATATGTTTTCATAAACTGCTGCTTTTAAGAATCCTTTAATAAAAACATCGCAAGGATGTTTTTATATTTGTATAAAAATAATATATGTAGAACTATTTAAGAAAAAAATACTTATTTTTTACTTTTTTATAATACAAAAAGAAGTGTTAGAACCTTCCTGAGATCACACAGTGTTTAGTGATTCAAACCCAGATTAGCTTATCATTTAAGGCTAGTTCCTTCTACTGTGAAATACAGTACTGTCTTTCTTTTAAGATTCAGGATTTTACATTCGGTTACTGAAGTGTGTTTGAATTTTAAACTTGAAGGCATGTAGCTGCCTTCCCAGCTGTCTGTCCTACAGCTAACAGTGATATGTGGTAATATCACTTTCCTGAGACTGTAAAAAGAAAATACAGCTAAGCTTGTTCTACCTTCTCCTTAGGAGTGTGTGCCTCTTGATGCAGGTCTCAATGCCATGTGTTCTGTTTGCTGCTTCTCCATCAGAACTTCATTTGAAAGGTGGAACTAATGCTGAGATGGCCCCACAGATTGATTACACAGCGATGGTAAGGGCTTTTATCATCGTTACCAAACTAAGATGATTTCATATATTCTTCCAAACCTCCATTCTCTAGTAAAATATATGCTGAATATTTTTGTGTACATCCATACCTGCTTATTTCTCTGTTGTGTCTAGTTCTTTTGTGGGAGAGGGTAAGAGATTATGTTTAGATTTTGTATCTTAGAACAGTGTTCATAGTAAATTCTTTGAAAACCTCAAGTGTAATTAGTATAAAATTATATTTATTACTATAGAAATCAGTTATTTTATAAGCACGGGAATTGCAATTTGGAATAAAAAACTCAAAGTAGAAAATACTATGTTTGACTCTTGAACACTATTGATGGGAATGCAAAATGGTACAGCCACTATGGAAAACTATGAAGATTCCACACGAAATTAAAAATAAAGCTGTCCAACTTCTGGGTATTTATCCAAAAGAGTTGAAATCAGGGTCTCAAAGAGATATTAGCATGTCCATGTCCATTGTAGCACTACTCATCATTCCAAGATGCGGAAACAACTTAAATGTCCATTGATGGATGAATGGATAAAGAAAATATATGTACATACAATAGAATACTATTCAGTCTTAAAAAAGAGAAACTCTATAGACTATGTAACAACATGCATGAATCTTGAGGGCATTATGCTAAGGAAAATAAGCTAGTCGCATAAGACAAATACCAGCATGATTCCATTTATATAATATAGCTAAAGTGGGTCAGATTCATGGAAGCAAATAGTGGAATGGTGGTTGGAAAAAGGGGAAATAGGGAGTTGTTAATGAATAGGAATAAAGTTTCAGCTAAGCAAGATGAACAAGCCCTAAAGATCTGTATGAATTGTACCTATAGTAAACAATTTTGTACACATAAAACATTTTTAAAATAATGAAATACCGAATTTTAAAGACAATACATTTTAAAAATGGTAAAATTCAATATTGGTATGCTTATACAGCCAGTAGGAGAGAAAACTAGTATCTTTTTTTTCCCTCTAGGTTTAATGAGACATAATTATACTAAAATTCACTCTTTTTAGTGTACAGTCCTGCAATTGTTGACATTTGGCTGTGAACCAGCCATCACAACCAAGCCTTACTGTAAAAATTTCCTCATATTCCTTTGTATTTAATCCCAACCCCAGCCTTTGGCAACCACTGATCTGTTTTCTATCATAAATTTGCCTTTTTTCAGAATGTAGCTTTTTGAGCTCTTTTTACTTACCATAATACATTTGAGATTGATCCTTGTTGTTTGTATCAGCAACAAAAGCCAAATAGTTCTGTTATATGGATGTACCAGTTTGTTTATCCAATCATCTTCTGAAGGACATTTGGGGTATCTCCAGTTTTGGGCAATTATGAATAAAGTCACTCTAAACACTTACATAGAGGCTTTTTGTGTGAATACAAATTTTCATTTCTTTCCTGTAAGTACCTAGGAGAGGGATTGCTGCGTTATAATAGCAAGCAGATGACTAACTGTAGGTGAAACTGCCAAATGTTTTGCCATCCAAAGTGGCTGCATTGTTATTTTCACCAGCCCTGCATGAGAGTTTTAGCTATTCTGCATTTTCTCCACCACTTGATGTTCTCAGATTTTAATTAAAAAAATTTTTGTGCCATTTTAATAGATGGTACAGTCTTTTAAAATTTAGTTTGATAGGGTGTATGATGAAAGTTCATCACTCTTTATCTAGTAATTACACTTCAAGGAAATGGCCCTAATTAAAACAAAATGCAACAAAAGATAAACATTCAGAGATATTTGAGCAGAGCATTCTATAACTCTTATTATATGACATACATAATTATGTAATAGTGATAACTTAGAGAACAGTTGAATAAATTATGATAGAATGCCGTTTCATCATTCACATTGCTTAGGAAGAATTTTACATAAACAGAAAGAACAAAGGGTTAAAACATTGTATATGCAATGAGATTTCAACTGTATTAAAAAATTGAGAAAGCAGAATGGAATGCTATTCACCAACACCCCCTAATTTCTTATGGCACATTACATTAAGAAGGGTTAGGAAATACTGGCCTCTGAAGTAAAATAACTACTGGGATCAAGTATCTCAAGTTCTGGGGTTTTTTTTTACTAGATAGACTTACACAGCCCTGATTAAGTAAATGCCCAATTTTTTATTTTAGCTACTGTCAGTTATTTTATTTGAAAAATAGAACTGGCCATTACATTTTTTAAATTACTATTTACCTGTAGTGCCTCATTACTAGCTCAATGCAGAGCACTTTTGTTTAATAGCCATACTTGTTGAATCAGTGGTTAATAATAAACTAATTTTTCAGGTTTTCAAGCCAATTGTTGAAAAATTTGGTTTCAGATTTAACTGTGACATTAAAATGAGGTAAGTTACATATTTCTTAGCCCTTTGACCCACTGCTTGTGCTAAGAATAGTGGAAAGTTAGGCCCTAAGAGAATTACCATTTTGGAACCCATTTAATATATTTCTTGTAGGAAATAATTATGCCTTGAGGCCTTAGATCAATAGGCTCCCTTTCATGTTTTCATGTTTTTCCTCCCCCTGCTTTCCAAAAATTGGAAATCCTGTATTTTTTCAAAATGCAGCTTATTATTTCTTATGTGAATTATCCATGAGTGTGCCTCAGTTGGAGTTCATGTTTGTACCTCTGTTGTAGTCATCTGTACAGCCTGATTTGTGTCTAGTAGTTGTATGTGGAGCCATCTCTCTACCAGATGGGGGAGCTTTTTGTGGATAGGAGCATTGTTATTCTCAGCATCTGCTGTAGAATAAATGACACCAAGTATTTGAGATAGATTTTTATTAATGCTCAGCTTCTTAAATATTCATCATCATATGTTTATTGAGCACCTGTGTACCAGACATTGTTTCTGGCACTGGATTATATCAGGAACAAAAGAGACAAAGGACTTGCTCTTAAGAAGCTTGTATTCTAAACTAGTGCTACCAAACAGAACTTTCTGCATCGAGGGAAATGTTCCTTATCCAATATGGTAGTTACACTAGCCACATAAGACTATTTAGCATTCAAAATATGCCTAGTATGACTGGGAAGCTGAGTATTAAATTGTATTTAATTTAAATAGTCACAGGTAGTTTGAGGCTACTGTAGTGAACAGCACAAATCAAAAACATTATTTGGAAATTTCAAACATGAGTTATATGGTTAGATATCATTCACATGTTATTTCATTATAAATATTAAGCTTTCTTTTTGCCATGCATTCAGTTTATTTGAGTATTTGTCGTACTTTTCATAGGGGTTACTACCCAAAAGGAGGTGGCGAAGTGATTGTCCGAATGTCACCGATTAAACAATTGAACTCGATAAATTTAACTGACCGTGGCTCTGTGACTAAGATATATGGAAGAGCTTTTGTTGCTGGTGTTTTGCCATTTAAAGTAAGTTGTCTATGGGTGTTCTTAGAAGTGTATATCATTATAAGTATTATAGCACCTAAATTTTGAAATTATTAAAAGAACTTAATTTTTTAATAATTCCTGTCACTAGAACTTTTTCTTAAAATTCTGTGCTCTCTATTCTTGAAAATCAAGTTTTTACATAAAGCATGTAGAAGTTATTTTATATGTCTTTGAAGGCTTGAAAATAATTGTCAAAATAATCATTAATTAATTTTATTCTGTTTTTCTGTCTTGCCACATAGGTAGCAAAAGATATGGCGGCGGCAGCTGTCCGATGCATCAGAAAGGAGATTAGGGATCTGTATGTTAATATCCAGCCGGTTCAGGAAACTAAAGACCAAGCTTTTGGCAATGGAAATGGAATAATGTGAGACAATATATCTTTTCCTAAATGCTGGTCAAGAGCCCTGAAATAATTATCCTATTTAAATTAAAGATTTGTAGTTTTTTTTGTTTAAATTTGTAGTTTTAAGAAGATAATACTTTTAAGGGCATTCCTACAACAGTATTATGAATTAAGATGATTATTTTATTCTGAGGATGGTTTGCCTTTTATTACTTTGTAAGAGCCCTTTTGTTTATCTAGTGAACTTAAATGTTTAAGCTAATCAGAAGTTAACCTTTGAAGCTGATCCTAAAGGGAGTATTTTCAGGTGCTTTTCTATACCTCAAATGTAAGGTCATTTTACAAGAAAATATTAGATTGGCAAAGATCTACTTAAAAAAGAAACCTAACCTATTAATCCAATTAGGAGTTACTGATTTAAGAAATATTTTAATTGATGTTTTAGAAGTATAGAAGTATCTTTAATACTTCTGTATTTAAATTTTGAAGTCTTTTTCAAAGTTTCGATTAAAGGGTTTAAAATAAATGCTCTGCATATGATAATACTATCTGAAAACTATAAAACAAAACCTAACATCTCTGTAGAAAGACCTTTTCATTTAAGACAATCATAAAATACTTTATGGTATGGTATGCCTGTGAAATGGTACCATTTAATGCTGATGACGTAACTCTTGGGTGAGGCATTTCTTCCCAGTGAGTGGGTTGGAATCTCCTGTGTCTTGTCAGAAGCACTGGCAGAGACTAATACGCTGATGAAGGTGAAGAACGCTGCTCATGCTACTCTCTGCATGAGGAATCTAACTTTTGCTGTGTTCTAGCCAGATGTAATTCTGTGTATTTAATAGTCACTGTTCTGCTGTCTTGATTTACATATAATTATAGAATATTTATCATATAGATAGTAATACTTTTTTTTTCCCTATGTAGCATTATTGCTGAGACATCCACTGGCTGTTTGTTTGCTGGGTCATCGCTTGGTAAACGAGGTATACATAAATGAAGGGCATCCAATTGGACGTTCCCAATGCTAGTATAAAATTCTTTGATTATCTGTCAGGATTAGAATGTCATAGCATGATGGGTGACAAGTTTGAAAGGATACGGTTAACTGATCCTGTTTTAGAGTCAATAAATTTTCAGTCTTTCCCTCAACTTTGTATTTTGAAAAACTCCGAATCTATAGAAAAGTTAAAACTAATGAGCATCCATACACTGTTCTAGATTCACCAGTAGAGAGTACTTAGCTACAAGCTATGTGTGTTTCTGAACCATTTCACTGTAAGTTGCAGGCTCTGTGTCTCACTCCTGAGTACTGTAGCATGTACGCCCAGAAAACAATACCTGCATAATACTACCTTAGAACTTGTATTCAGATAGAACTAGTTGCCTCCAAAATATTCTTTGGAGCAGTGTGGGATTTTTTTTTCTTGAGAACACACAGTATCTGGTTATCATGTCTTTTTTATTACAGAATAGTCTCTTCACCTTTCTTTTAACCTTTCATGGTACTGACATTTTGAAAAACTCAAATGTATACAATTTTCCACAGTTTGGATTTGTCTGATTTGGATTTGTCTGTTGATTAGATATTCAGGTAAAACATTTTAGTAGGAATATTGTATAGTTGATTTTGTGTACTTTCCACTGTATCACAACAGGTTGCACGTAGTGTCACTTTGTCCGTTACTGGTAAAGCTGCCTGTGATCACTTGGTTAAGGTGATGTCCTCCAGTTTGTCTGCTGTAAAGTTTCCTTTTTCCTTTGTAATTAGTAAGTAATCTGGGATAATACTGGGAGACCATGTGATTATCCTGTTGCTGTACAACTTTCATCCAGTGGTTTTGGTGTCTTGATGTTCTTCCCTGCATCACTTTACTACATTAGTTTTTCAAAATACTGAATATTTTTCTGAAAGGGAAATTTGCTCATTTTTGGCATATATGGGAAAGGAGATACACATTTATGTTTCAGTTTGCTAATACTTAAAGTTGCTTTTGCTGTTAAGACCGTATGTAGTAAAACTTTTTGTTTGTGTGGTAGTTGATTGCTTTATTCCTAGTTTGTAGATCTTTAAAAGATGCTTACCCTCGCTGGGCTGGGTAAAAAATTTCAGGTAATCTTAGTTTGCTCAGTTGGTAGATCTAGATACTAGTTACATATCAGATCTAATCAACATTCAAGAGTAAGGAAAACCAACATCTCCAGTTGACCTGATATAAATGAATCCTGTTTAAAACTGTGCTATTCAAAGTGTGATTGGCATTTGGGCAGCATGTCAGTGTCATCTGAGAGTCTGTTAGACATACAAATTTGCAGGCCTATCCCAGATTTGTCAAATTAGAATCTCTGGGAGTAGGGCCCAGGAATCTGTTCTGAGAGGCTCTCCAGGTGCTTCTAAGGTATAGCAAAGTTTGGGAAGTAGTGATCAAAAATACATATTTAGTGTATACTAATTACTTGTTAGGTAAAGTGGATAGTGAGCCACTGTATGTAGTATCTACAACTGTCTTGAGAAGGCAAATATAATGCAGAATATAAAGCAGAGACTAGAAGCCCTCATGTTATAAATAATAAGTGCTTGACAGCCATTGGGTGGAATATGAATTTAGTTTGTAGTATCATTGGGTACCAAGACGTGCCAGGTACTGTGTGCCAGGGGTTCAGAAGCGAGAGCCACCATCCTGCCTGCTGGCTTCGTCTGGCAGAGGAGACCACCCGGTGCTGTGAGTGTGGTGTCCCCAGGGTCCCATAGAGACACAGGGGAAGAACAGCTAATTCTTCTTTAGGGGCTGATTGACCCCAAATGTGACTTCTGCCATTCTCTGATCCTCCAGGGGGTTCTGTCGGCTAAGAAGACGTCAGAAAAGAGGGCTTAGGAAGAAGGCAGTGCTAACACAAAAGTGTGTTGTTCTGTGACTATCTGTGATGAGTGCAGGATTTGGGTGGGGGAGTGGAGATGGGGTTAGAGAGGTCAACAGAGGATTTTGAAGGGCTTTATAGACCATATAAAAGACTTTGTATTTCATCCTGAAAACATAAAGATTTTAAGGAGGGTTGTAATATCAGATCTTTGGAAAGGTAATTCTAATCGCTCTGTGGAGGATTAGAAGAAAACCATACTGAAGGCAGGAAGATAAGAGTCTGTTACAGCAATTTAGGTCAGAAATGGTGAGGGTTTATACCATGGAATGTGGTGACTGGGGCCAGAGAGGTGAGTAATGATAGAAGGGTATTTTGAAGGGTGAATAGACAGTTTAGTGACCAATTGGATATGGGAGGTGAGGGAGGAAATAAGAAGAATGACCTCTATATTCCTCCCTTGGGTAACTGGAAACATTTGTTTCAGTTGTGAATACAACTGAATGAATCTACAACTTGTGAATATAGAAAGTAGAGTTAGTTTGCCAGGGTAGATGATGGTTTTAGATACATTGCATTGAGATTGCAAAAGAATCATTACTCTGTTATCAGCAGTACTTGTAATTAACTTTGTTGATGAGAGTCTGTTAGACATACAAATTTGCAGGCCTATCCCAGATTTGTCAAATTAGAATCTCTGGGAGTAGGGCCCAGGAATCTGTTCTGAGAGGCTCTCCAGGTGCTTCTAAGGTATAGCAAAGTTTGGGAAGTAGTGATCAAAAATACATATTTAGTGTATACTAATTACTTGTTAGGTAAAGTGGATAGTGAGCCACTGTATGTAGTATCTACAACTGTCTTGAGAAGGCAAATATAATGCAGAATATAAAGCAGAGACTAGAAGCCCTCATGTTATAAATAATAAGTGCTTGACAGCCATTGGGTGGAATATGAATTTAGTTTGTAGTATCATTGGGTACCAAGACGTGCCAGGTACTGTGTGCCAGGGGTTCAGAAGCGAGAGCCACCATCCTGCCTGCTGGCTTCGTCTGGCAGAGGAGACCACCCGGTGCTGTGAGTGTGGTGTCCCCAGGGTCCCATAGAGACACAGGGGAAGAACAGCTAATTCTTCTTTAGGGGCTGATTGACCCCAAATGTGACTTCTGCCATTCTCTGATCCTCCAGGGGGTTCTGTCGGCTAAGAAGACGTCAGAAAAGAGGGCTTAGGAAGAAGGCAGTGCTAACACAAAAGTGTGTTGTTCTGTGACTATCTGTGATGAGTGCAGGATTTGGGTGGGGGAGTGGAGATGGGGTTAGAGAGGTCAACAGAGGATTTTGAAGGGCTTTATAGACCATATAAAAGACTTTGTATTTCATCCTGAAAACATAAAGATTTTAAGGAGGGTTGTAATATCAGATCTTTGGAAAGGTAATTCTAATCGCTCTGTGGAGGATTAGAAGAAAACCATACTGAAGGCAGGAAGATAAGAGTCTGTTACAGCAATTTAGGTCAGAAATGGTGAGGGTTTATACCATGGAATGTGGTGACTGGGGCCAGAGAGGTGAGTAATGATAGAAGGGTATTTTGAAGGGTGAATAGACAGTTTAGTGACCAATTGGATATGGGAGGTGAGGGAGGAAATAAGAAGAATGACCTCTATATTCCTCCCTTGGGTAACTGGAAACATTTGTTTCAGTTGTGAATACAACTGAATGAATCTACAACTTGTGAATATAGAAAGTAGAGTTAGTTTGCCAGGGTAGATGATGGTTTTAGATACATTGCATTGAGATTGCAAAAGAATCATTACTCTGTTATCAGCAGTACTTGTAATTAACTTTGTTGGTCAGCCTTGTAAAAATTTCTTTTCTAATATTCCATCAACATTCTTTTCTCATTTGGTCATATCAGACAGTTTTTACTTTGAAGTTCTTTTTGGACCACATGCTTATAGAGAGCACAGTGCATACTTTTAGACTTACAGTGGGAGGAAGGAAGAACAGAGCAACTTGTTTGCTCAGATTGATTGTCCCCTGCTGGTGTTCTTCCTTGCTTCCTGCGAGGCATGTCAGTCAGATGAGATGTTGTTAGCCAGTGCAAGGGTGCTTGGGGTCTCCTCTCCTAGTCTCGGTAGTCTGTATATTCAGAATCTCAGAGATAATGTCATGGCTCCTATTATCCAGATCCTCTTTCATATCTGAAATTATAAATTATGAATCAGCTAGAAAATTACTAGACCCTGAATCCTAATGTTTAAGAGTTGTCACCAGAAGCAATATTGGCTGGTCGTCCATGCCATTGTATATGGTGGAAGCAGTAAGTTGTAACTAGTCTTTTTTTTTTTTTCATTATCTCAGTTACCAAAGCAGCTTTGATCTTAGTTTCCTTGCTTGTTAAGTGAGTGAATTAACCTAGAGAATCTCTGAACTCTTCCAGCTATATAGCATTCTTTGATCCTATAACAAAGGTGAAGTTTTGTTTTGTCCAAGAGTCTGTGGTTTAGATGAAATTGTGTACTATACGAGAGAGCACGAAGCTGAGAGCAAGAAGACCTTAGATATGGTCCTATGTCTGCCATTATCCTGCAGAGTGATTCTGGCATTTGCTTGTCTGAAAATGGATGGGACCACTGTCTATGTGCAAGGATCCTTCCAACTTTATATGATTGTAGTATGGCCAGAATGTATTTTGTCTTTGCATTGTTGAGTATTTGTGTATTTTTTTATTGCTTTTCTCTTTCAGTAAATCATGTTCTTTACTGTGGGAGCAAAGTAGTCTGCTAAAATGAGTTATGCCTCTGGTTAACCTCTGGTTAGTCCCTGTTTCCTGTGTGGAAATTGCCCAGCTAGTAAGCACTTTCCTTCCCACCTTCAGTATATGTGGCACTTCTCGGCATCTCTGATATCCTAAAGTAAATCTGTTGGCCTTCTCTGTTCAGTCTGATAACCATTTTATAGTTTTGTCCTCTTAATAACCTAAAAAAACACCCAAATCACTGAATATTCGTTTTAATTTGCAATCAGCTGTCAAAATCAAGACCTTTTTTGAAACATCCAAAATGTCAGGTTATTGTCAGTCATAAAAGCATTAAAATTTCTGAAGAAATTAGCATTTTGCTCTTCTGTTTAGAGCATAGTACTTAATAAGCAACAATCTCATAATTACTTCATTTTGTTCAGTTGCCACAGACCTCTACTAATAGCTGGTAATGATGTATATCCCTTCCTACTGTTACTCATTATCAAGGAGGCTGGGTAGGAAGGAATGTGAGTGGCTCTGAGAAACACTTTGCCACTGGCAGAGAAACCTTAGTATGTCTCCTGCTCTCCAGTACTTTCAAAGCAAGACTCACTTAAGTCCATGCTCTGTGAAACCTTAAATTGTTCTAGTATCTATAATCTGCTATTTTTGTAAACTTTTATTGGGTATATAGTTTATAGCTTAGAGCTTAGCTTAGTGCTTACTCT